ACATAATCCTAAAACGAATAATATGAATATGAATATTGAGAATATTTCATTTTACAATCTACTGTATATACTGCAAACATTGGTGCTTAAATGAAGAGATAAATGACAGGGGATTTTCTTCTTATCAAACGTTTCTGGCTCATTCCAATAATGGGACAACAACCGAGAAACTTCATACTACAGAAAAGACAAATATCCTCAAATCAAAATGAAACTACTTAAAAAAAAGGAAAAAAAGGATAGTGCTTTATATAAATAAACTACTACTACTACCAACTCCAATACTGTTTCATTTATGAGCCGTAATTTTTAAAGTGTAACTAATTACATTCATGTGACCTTAGTGTCAGTGACATTAGTGTCACTTTTTGTTTAATGTCAAACTGTACATATATCATTCCAACCTCTATCAATGTAAACAGATTTGGCACCCTCCCTCTGAAGAACAGCAAATGCACTGTGCACTTTTAAGATCTTGTGGGTGTGTGTGTGTGTGTGTGTGTGTGTGTGTGTGCTGCCTCCCCTCTCCTCTTTGGTGTGTGCGATCTTTTTGCGCGGATGTGAGAGCAGACGACTGGAGGCCATGCTTTTGATTGCAGCTTATTGAGGTCTGCATTGAAATGGGGATCATGAGTGGAGCAGATATTGTGTGTTAAATATGCATGCGATACAACGAGTGTGTGGGCTTTTCCTGAACGTCTATCAGTCAGAGGAGAACAAGCGCGCGCGACAGTCATGCTGCAGGGCGCGTGATTAGCGCACACGCGGCACACACACAGCAAGCATGCGCCCTGACTAAATAAAACACACACAGTTAGTATAAAAGTGGTTGGGGGTGTACTGTCACGCTGCTGTCGACGATGGAGGGATGTCGAAGTAGAGGGCTGCGCAATATTATCGCTCCATAAGCAAAGTCACAATACGCAATATCAACTTTGCTTATGTTCATGATTTAAAACAGTGAATATTGTCTTGAGCTGTACATAGTAGGTCTAAATCCAAATCAAGTCCTGCTCGTGGGGTAGAAACCAAATCACAAGCCATACTATACAGTTATGCATTTCCCAAAACCCAGGAGTGGATAAGCATGCTGGTTGACTCTTTGAAGGCAAAACTCAGTCAGAAAGTTATAAAATGTGCGTAAAGACTGCCTGAAAATGAGGACTATTTAAAACTGCTTTGAGTAAATAGACCAGATTTCAAAGGTAGTCTTCTTGATGAGTTTTTTATAATCAAGACTGATTATGGATGGGGGTGAATCATTTCTTGATGACAAAAACAGTGTCCAAAAAACTGCCTTTGATTGTCAGGTCCTGGACAGATAATAAATATATGAAATTGGGTCAATATATATGTTTGTTTATGGGGTATACATTAAAGACCACAAACACTTTATCGATATAATCAAATCCATGTGACAAGTTCCTCACTCTCAAAACAGTTTGGTTCTATCTCTAGTTTTATGTATATTAATGATAATACATTTTATATTTTTTGCCTTTTGGTCCCATCTTGGACACAAATATAGCGGCTCTTTCTTACAAGATGTTTGTTGTGGTCTGATTTGTTCACAATATTTTACTTTTACAAGACTGTCTATATATTATTTATACAAAAGAAATTAGGAACCCCAAGTTTAATTGAACCTAATGTAAATTCACACGATTGAAAGTTAACAAAATTATTAGAATGATAGACATCACATTATCAATCACCTTTCTCTCATATTGCGCAGCCCTGATAAATTAACATGCAAAGTTGATCGCTGAGCTAAGAACGCCTTAAGCCAAACTTAAATATTTCACCTGCTATTGATGAAAGTAGAAGTGAGAGTGGCTTGTCCAGAGCTTCAGGGACATAATTCTATATCACCAGCAGATACCAGGTGAGGCGGGCACAAAGGGACACCATGGCAATGCCAGAAAAATGCCTTGCGACACCATGGCAACAGCGGCCTCCATTGCTCAGTGAGGTGGTGTGAAGCAGCCCAGACTTGCTACAGTGGCGTGGTCGTCAGATACACACTTCAGTCACATCAGCAATAGTAACATAGTCCATTAATAATTTCTTCAGTCAGGTAATTGATCATCATCATTAACAATCAGTCAAAAGGAGCAAGAACACAGTATCTACTGGTCTCTGTTTTTTGCTAAGTGAGACATAAAAAGTGAAAAGACACAAACGAAAATATATGACCGTCACAGGATCAAACTCAGAATAAAGAGGAGTTGTGGGAGAATGTTCTTTGATTATTAATGAACATTGGGGGAGAGAAAAACAGATTTCAGCAGGCGAAAGCAAAAGAAACAGCAGGATGTTTGAGGAGAAGATGAGGCGGAAAGGAACCGAGTGTCAATGCAATGCTAGGTAGTACAAGAGGTGTGACAGACTGATCGCTCGAGTAGATACAGATGAAGAGAGTTTTGACTTTTACTTGTCTTTTTTGTCACAGGCACTAATGTCTTCACAGTCATATAGGAGGAATCAAAATCCAAAAATGATTTCAGTGTCTAGAATAGCTACAAAGCTAAAACATTGAAAACTATTTTATCTAACACTTCCTCCAAATATACCAAACTTAACTAATATATATACCTGTATGTATATATATGTATATATTTATTTGTACATATATATTTCTTTATAGATAAATGATAGAATTCAAAATGAATACAATAAAATATCTCAGTTAAATCACAGTATAACATATTACATTCTCAAAAAACATAGTATATTTGAATATATTCTTTTCTCAGCATGAAAATAAATGAGGAAAATAAGCCAGAGGGTTTTTAAAGAGTCACTTCTGTTCATGCAGTCACAGACGTAAGTTTTAGTGCCTCAATAGAAATCAATGCAAATCACTGACATCCCAGGTTAGAGCCCTGTAAAGTGGTTGAAAAGGATTGTGTCTTTACTACACAAACGGATGCCCTTAAGTCTCCACTGCTGCACCGTGGAAAGAGCTTTAAAATCTAAAAAGTGGCTACCTGGGTCCAACGCATTTGCAAACTGATCTATACGCAACCCTCTGCCTCAAATCTTTCCATTCAAACATGCAACAAGGGGCCGCTTAAAGGAGGGGACAGAGCGAAAAGCTATTATTTAAAACATCTTTAAATCAACGTCTCTTTTTTTCAAAGCTGCCCCACATGGATCTAGAAAAAAGCAATTCATGTGCTGATAAAAAAGTACAGTTCTGCTCTTGCCTGAGTCCAAAACAAGGTGGGGAAGGGGGGATGTAAAGGTGGACTAATCCTTATTCTGTGACAACATGCACAAACACAAAGCACAGGCCTCACCTCTCTAACCCCGTCTTCGACTAGCCTTAGCAAAAGCAAAACCCAAAAAAAGCTACTATAGGAGACTAAAAGGTGTTCAGTTTGCTACATCATGTCAAAGCTACATTCAACTACAGTAGGAGAAGAGCTGGGCTGTGGCTGGTCTTAGTGTGTGAGAGACGAGGTGGAAAGTGTGGAAATAAAAAAATGTTAACTGTATGCATTGCAAGTTGGCACATTTTACACAGTAGATGGCTTTTGGCACAGCGCACACAATGTCAAATTCCACTGCTTCAACAACTTGCCTTTTATTCAGACATGACACAAATCTGACCAAATTGGATGAAGCAAAGTCAGGAAAACAAAATCTTGGTCTCAGATGCAACTCACATTTATGGAGGAATATTGCTCAAAGTCAACAGTCTGATGATGTGAAAGCAGGTTGTATCACTGCTCCTCCTCCTATCACCAAGAATACACGTCTAACTGACCATTCACAGTTTGCTACTAAGCTTTTTCTGCCAAACACAATACCACAAGTATTCGCTTTCGCTTCAACTAATGCAACACGGAAACATTGATTATTTCCATTTATGCATCTTTTATACTATATAAATGTGGATAAAATGGTACAGTTTGGAAAATGTGAGTAGGAAATTGTGCTTCATAAAATCCATCTGTTGCCATTTCTGCACCAATGCTGGTTGACAATTAAGAAATGTCTTGATTGCACTATACTTCTAATCCATCGACATCATCTGCATGATTCTGCCTTAACTCGGGCCTCATGCTGTACATCACAATAGCCATGAAAATGAGGGCTTTCACCAGTTCCAGTCATGCTTATTTAAATATTATGCAGCCATCTAGTGCCAATTACAAATATTGCATCATCACCCTTGATCCACTAACATGTTAAGAATGGGTGTGTAATTCACAGAAGAACAGTGTACGGATTTGGGAAAATACCAGCTCGACAAACCAATTTTGCTTTAAATCTTAAGGGGTAAATTTGACATTGTTATTGATTCACTCCCACTGGTAATACGAGCCACATCCAGCACCCTCTTTATTAAAACACTACACAGTGAGAGAAATATACTGAATAAAAAAGGACAGAGAGTGGGAGAATAGTCTACAAAATGAAAGACAGATTGAAAATAAATCTGCTACGTCTTTGTTTACCGGTATAATGATTCAAAGTTCAGTTTGTTGAACCTACACACTCAACCGTTCAAGTCCTGGTTGGACCAGAGGTGACCAGCTCCAACATGGCATAGGAGACGCAGATCTTAAAAGGGCTTCTAATAAACCATGACATCTCTCATGTTTCCTGGGGTAGAGCTAGATGGGTCTGGTGTGTTATGGCAACAAACAGCAAAGAGAAGAGAAACCAAAATTGTCCTTGTGCCCAGTGAAAGTGATCTGGCAGACGGAACATGAGGGGTGACTGCATTGCTTTTCTTATCAATGATTTACAAAAGGGAAGAAAAGGGGAAGTCCTTCCAACAGCAAGGAGCAGTCCAAAGGCCAAAAGCTTCAGTTCAAAGGCCATCAGCCAAAGAGAACAGAGAGCCAGAGTTTGAGTAAAAACCCTGGACACTTTCAGGAGAGGTTCCCACCACCAAGTTCTTAGAACCAGAGGGAGGGAGACGTCCGTGTGCATGTGTGTGTGTCAGCGTGTTTGTGTCGGTGCACAAATATGACATCATTACTCACAGACTGGAGACTATCTTATCCACAGTTGTGACTCGGGGAGGGGAGGAGAACTGATGATGACATCACAAAGCTCAATTCAGAGCGGAGAAGAAGTTCAGGAGTCTCCGGTGATGCAGCCTCACCTTCGCTCTCGTCGTCATGGGAACCATCCAAGCGGATGTAGCTCATCTGGGTGTGGCGTCGGACTGTGGCTTTCACCAGAACACGTACAATGGTCCGCGTGGGCAGGGTGTGGCTCGCACTCAGACTGGTCACACCAACAGAGCTACAATCCAGGTTTGATCTTGAAGTGATGGTTGCGAGTTGATTTCCGAGTGTCACCAATGCAGCCATGTCTCTGATGTTACTGGGTCCAGCTGTGGTGGCACCTCGGGGTGCTGCTGTGGTGCTTGCTCTGACGTCTCCCTCTCTCCTGTCCCCCTGTCATACCTCGCTCTCCAGGCTAGAGAAGTGGGCGGAGCCTCTACGTGAGCACAGGCTCTTGGCTTTGAGCGGCAGGTGAGGGGAGTAAAACCTCCGTGGCTGTGGCACAGAGCGCAGTCTCTGGTACTGAAGTTTGGCACTGGAAGAAGCCGGAGCCTGTCCTTGGCTCACCATCCCCACCCCTGGAGGAGGAGAGACAGAGGCCGACGAGGGGGGAGGGACGATGGGCATGGGGAGTGATGTGGGGGACAGGGAGGGCTGATGAGGCGGCGATGGAGAGGCTTGAGCCGGGTGGTCAGCAGGCTGTGCACCGAGGCTGAGGTTAGATTGGCTGCCTGATTTGGACTGACCTGCGTCAGGTTTTGGGGGGAGAGGCTTAGGTCGAGAGCCACCGCTGAAGCTGTGACAGTGCGGCAGAAGCTCCTCCTGACTATGGGACAGTGTAGTGGCTCCTCTCTTGCTGTGGGAGGTGTGCGAGCGGTCGTGTGCATGTGGATAGGGGTGAGGGTGGGAGTATAGGCTACACGAGCACATGGTGGAGCGTCCGGGCTCATCTCTGTCCCGAGACGTCTTACTCTTCCCACCTTTCCACCTCTTCTCCCCCTTCACTGGGATCTTGTCCATGGACCAGTACCTTCTTGGTGGTAGGAAACCTACTGGGGGTGGGGGCCACTGTGACCCCAGTCCACCACTTCCTCCTCCGGACCCCCAGCCCCCGCCCGGTCCTCCAGACCCCCAAAAATCCGTCGCGATCCAACCCTCCGCACGAGTGCCCAGCAGGGAGTCGTCTCGGCTGTTCACACTACCTCCTTTTTCTCTGGAGGGGTAAGTTCCAAAGAACCAACCACCTCCACCTATGCCCCCGATCCCAGAGCTACTGCCCCCTGCGCCCCCTTCCCAGTACCTCTCAAAACGTCCAAACTCACCTGATGAGCCCTCATCCGAATAACTGTCCTCTACCCTGACTCTGTCCCTTTCCGACTCGGACACTGCCCCCCTGCCTGTCCTCCTGCCCCTCTCCTCCTCCTCCTCCTCGCCATCATCCTCATCATTATCGTCTGAATCCCACTCGGGGAACGACAGCCCCTCTCTCGTCTGTGCTTTATCCTTCTCAAAACGCATCAGCAGTGGCCGACGTTCCCCTTGCCGGCCGCCGTCCTCCCGGTCCATCCCTCCGCTCCTCCGTCTCTTGGTAGACGGGAGGAGCGGGTGGATGGATGTTGGCGTGGTGTTCGAGACGCCCTCCCTCCCGTTGACCCAGAACTTGACGGACGCGGGGAGCTTGTTGAGGTTTGGATAGCGCTTTGGGGTGCGGTGTGCAGGTCGCGAGTGTGAGGACTTGGGCCGCCTCTCTCTGCTCCGGCTGCTGTCTTCTTCCTCTCTGTCATTGCCCTCATCTGTCCCCTCCCTTCTCGCCCTGTCCCCGTCCCACGAGTCGCGCACCTTCTCTGCGAATGTGCCCCTGTACTGTGCTGGGAAGGAGGGGTAATCCGGGATGCCGCCCTCCCTCACCCCCTCCGCCTCCCCCTCCCTGTCTCCCTCGACGTCACCCTCCTCGGGCTCGCTGCGCTTTCCCCCAGGGGATTTTTTATGCTTTTTAGTTTTGATTGCTTTCTTTTTCTTCTTTTTGACTTTCCTGCGCTTTCGTTCCCTCTCCCTCTCCCTTTCTCGCTCCTCCCTTTTTTTTCTCTTCTTATTCTTTTTCTTTTTCTTCTTCTCTTTCTCCTTATCCTTTCTCCTCTTTTTATCACGTTTCTGTCTGTCAGTGTCGCCTAAACCACCCCGTTCCCTCTCATTCCAACTGGCCCACCATTCCTGGAGCTGGGACAACTGGCTTCCTACCCTATCTCTCTCCCGAACCCTGTCTCGGTCGCCCCAGGACGTGCGTGGTTTCCTGGGAGGTACAGGAGGCGGCAGGCGCCCGTGGCTCAGGGATCGAGGGCGTATGACTGAACGCTCTCTGTCCCTGCCTCTACCTAACAGGAGACTGGACTCCTCTGTCAGCTCCTCATCGTCATCGTCGTCCTCTGCGTCGATGCCCCCGGTGCGGTCCCGTGTGCTGCGGGACGAGCTGTACGAGTACGTGGGCGAGGTGGAGCGCGACGTGGAGGCCGAGGAGGACGTGGACGAGGACGAGGAAGAGGATGAGGAGGTGGTGGTGGTGTAGTGCAGGGACGCTGATGGGGAGGGAGGGGTGTAAGTTGGGCTGATGGGCACAGGCATTGGGAGTGAGAGGGGAGGAGACAAGGGCCTTCCTTTTCTCGCTCCTCCCTCCCTCACAATGTCCCGTGCCCCGCCCCTCCGTCCCAGTGGCAAGATGTTCTCGTAGAGCGGCCCCCCAGGCTCTTTGGGCTTCTTGGGCCGTCGTTTCCTCCAGAAGGATGAGGGGAGAGGGGGAGAGGGGTGTGGCAGCGGAGGTGTGGGAGGCAGAGGGGCCTGGCTCTTTGGAGGCAGTCTTGGTGTGGCCAAAGCTTTAGTCCCCCCTTTGCCCGGACCTCCACTGCTACCCCCTACAGCCCTCTTCCCCACCCCATGGTCCAAGCCCTTCTCTGAGTAGAAGGCCACACTGGCAGGGGGAGGCTGGGGGTGGCCCCGAGGTATAGTCTTGGGGGTCTGGGACCCTGCCTGCTGCTCCATGCAGGGCCCCAGTCCCTCAGGGTCAATGGGACCATAGTAGCGCTTATAGCCATCCAGTCCCCCGCCTCCTCCAGCAGATGAAGGCCAGTTCGAAGGGACTTTCTGAGCAAACGGTCCCATGTCGGTGATCCCACCCCTTAGAGCCAGAGGATTGGTTGCAGTGGCAGATTTAGGCAGCCTCCATCGATCAACCACCGCCAGTCGACGATCTGGTCGGGGCAAGAAGGTGGAGCAGGGGAGAGGTGCACCAGCAATAGGATTGTTTGGAGGGCCAAGGGATGATCCCGAGTGCAGCACGGTGGGAGGGGAGCCTGGGAGAGGTGATTTATAGACGGGTTGGGTCGGTTGCTGCTGCTGCTGTGGTGGTGGCTGCTGTTGGGTCAGCGCAATGGCTGGGCTGGTCATAGATGTGGACACAACGTGAGCCTGGGATGGAACAGTCACCATTGCTGCGTGGTGATGAGAGGGCATAGTCTTTGGACCAGGTGGTGCTGTTTCATCCTCAAAGCTGCAGCAGCTATACATGCCCTGAAAAAAAAGAACACTGAAATTAGCCCAAATCATAAGTGGACAATAATAAATACTGTAAATTGCCAAAATAAGCACACACCCACATACAGTAGAGTGAGATAAGAGATGCTGTAGTAATGGATAATAATTATTTCGATGTTGCAGATTGCACACAGGCAATTTTCATCACACAAACATAACACTTTCTATTTTTAGTTCTGTATTACATTGTTAGCTTAATGAAGATTTCTAAACCAATGCATAAATTACACACAGAGGCAGGGAGAAAAAATAGTTATCAGTGATGCTACTATAATGACATGCACATGGTCTGGTCTGCCAAGGTCATTGTCAAAGCAACAGGATATCCAGGGTGTGAGCAGAATTGAGTTTTAATTAATCTTTCCAATTGACAGAGTGGGATTGAACTGACCCCCGACCTAAGCACCACTCCTACTGTGCAACACAAGGGCACAATATCCAAGGATACACATGTTTATACAGCTGGGTGAGTTGGGGATGGATATAGCAGGCATGATCAAGGAATTAGCACAGGCCTACCAGTCAAATACAGCTGATTTTCAATTTGGTTAAAAACACGTCTATTGCCACTATCCAATTTGCAGGTTGAATAGTATGCACAGTTAATATGTGGAATAAAATGTGGAGGGTAGGCCTGAAATTATGTGGCTCTGCCAGGTAGTATGGGTGGGAAGGAATTACAAAAACTAATACATTCATAACAATGGGTGGGAATTCCGTTGGTATTCATTAAATTAACCAAACAACCAAAAAAAGTAAGAATGAAAAAAATCATGGAAATCATGGAAATTGTGGTTCTCAAAGTATGACGTGTACATAACACCACCTGGGGCAACACACACAAATTTGAATAACAAAAATGAAATAATCTGTTTAGTGTATATTACCCTTTATATGAGACCAAGCGTGATCATGTAAGTGACAATTTGTCTAATAACACATTCATTATTAAACCAAATCAACAGTTTATCATATTTGGACATACAGTATATGTCATATACACATATACAGCAGTAGATTTCAAATAAAAAGTTCTCGGCAGGCCAGGCACAAGCATCTGTAACTATTATTAATACAATATTTCAGTGCTGATAATTATAGTAGTATGTATACTGTATATCAGCGTTCTAACATTCTAACATGTTGATATAGAAAAGGCCTTACCCTGCTGATGGCCAGGAGAAAGTCCAGTTTCCCAGAGTTGGTGGCTATGCAGTGGCGCAGCTTCCAATAAACCAAATGTTCCCAAGCAAACACCAGCAAGCTGAGCCCCATGGCCACCAGGAGCATGTAGAAGACCCCCGCCATGTTGTCAATATCCAGTTTACTGCTCATCACCTCGATTTTGTCGTTGTGACAAATCCCAGACAGCCAAAGACGCTCCAGCATTTCAATTTCATCTGGAGTGGGGATGTGGGAAGGGGGAGAGAAAGTGGAACAGAGAGGAAAACCAGTGAAATCAATAGCATAAAAAAATGAGTTAATAAAATCCAGTGGTTCCATGTATTGGTTCCATCATACTTACACCATACTCTAGCATAATATGTAGGGCATGACTTAAATATTTGATGACCGCTCTATGTCTCGCGATAAATGTTCAAATCAAATATTGATTTTTGTGAAACAGCTATAAATGTTGATTCATCTACAGTTGTAAAAAGATATGACATGGTGTAAAAATGTACTTTGTTCATGGTCTGATTATAGAGAGAGCACAAGGAGCGCCTCACTAAGAGATGCCAGATCCTATGAACAAAGCCAGTTATAAAGCAAAGGTATCAGCAAACATGCACTTACCGAAGCAAGATAAATTAAATCTTATTAATGATATTTTTTACACTGTGGAGCCTTGCTAAATGTTTTATCATCCCAAAGATAGCCTGTGTACTTTCCTTTAAGACTTTGTTTTACCATTCCAAAGTCTGCATTATGGCCATTCTAAACGTTCTAAAATGTGCCTGTAAATGCTGAGTTGAGGACAATTCAATTCAATTGAATTTATTCTTGTATAGCCCTAAATCACCACAGTAGTTATCTCAGATGACTTAACAAAACCGTTGAAATTGCCAACACAGATCAGAGAATCAAACAGTTTCAAACACAAATATAGGTGTTGGTCCATCGGGAACCAATGTCCATGAATGTTGATAAATGTCCATAAATGTTTTAGAATGTTAAAGGGTCCTGGGTCATCACCACAGTCCTTTTTGTTAGACCACTAATAGTCTAACAGACCTTCCTGCATCGGCAAGGAAAAACTCTAAAACCCAGTAGGAGAGAAGTGAAAAACCTCGGGGAGGTCCACATTGAGAGGGAGATCTGCTCTCAATGACAAAGTGTTACACAAAACATGAATGGACTATAAAATTAAATGGTAAAGAGTAGAAAGATCTCTCAGCCTCCCACCTCCAGTCAGCAATAAACCCAAAGTGGTTGGCGTGTCTTAAGCATTTGACAGCAATAATGGCTAAATCGGATTGTAGTGACATTTATAAAGTAGAATGTGCATATTATATGTAACCACTATATCCCTTAAGAATGAGCAGGTAGAAGGCAAAGCAATAACGGTCAGAGAGTAATTAGGCTTGGCTAGTGTATTGCTTTATAACACAGCAGAATACACTGTTGTTTTCCATTAAATAAGGAAAGAACTTGGGGTCAGATGTCACTGGAACAAAACAAATGTGTACAAAGCTAAACAGGGAAAAGGAAGAAGCCTGGGCCAGAAAAAGAGAGTCCAAAACAATGATGTCGCGGAGAGAGCTAAAATGGCCTAGACAACCTAATCTCAGCTTTGTAACCGGGCACAAATGAGGAGAGGAGGTGGCCAGGAGCACAGAGACGCAGGGCCAGTTAAACAAGCGTGGATGAAGGGTTGAGGTTCATAAGAAAAGCAAGAGAGCCTCTGCCATATACAGTCTGTGGGCCTTTATAATTAGATCAGGAGCTTACAGATAATAGGATTGGGAATTAGACTTGATAATTTAACATTCATACTATACCAGGGACCTAATGTGTGAAATATGAATCATGTATGTGTGAGTATTCCTTTACCATTGCTCATGATAATAATAATAATGATGATTAAACATCTAAAAAAAAACGTGTTTACAAAGCGCTGCAGTCAGAAGAAAGCAGTAAATAGTCAATAAACAGTCATAATAATTAAAGATGTCCAAAAGAAGCTCATAGGGAGTTAAAAGTTCATAATATAGCTTGGTGGGTGGCAGGCCTAAACAAGCAGTAAAAGTCATTAGTTAAATTTCAAAATCAATTCTAAAATGCACAGGGAGCCATTGGAGGGATAATACAACTGGGGTAATGTGCTCCCTTCTGTTAAAACAAATGAGAAGTCTGGCTGCTGCGTTCTGAACCAGCTGGAGGTGGGTTTCGATGTGGGTTGATGAGGAGGACTTCAGAATTGGAGGTGTTGAGTTGTAGTAAGTCATGGGCCATCCAACTTCATTGAAGCAGTCTACCACAGAAGCTAGACTTCCAGGGTTGTTTGGTCTCAGCGGGAGGTATATCTGTGTGTCTTCCGCATAGCAATTGGTGGGGGGAGCATATAAATAGAAAAATAAAATAGGACGCAAAATAGAACCCGTAAAATGACCCATGTAGGCCGCAATGGTTCTGTCTAAAAGATAAGAATAAAAGCAATCAAGTGCAAAATTTCTGATGCCAACCCAAGTTTTGAGACGTTCCAATAAAATATTGTGGTCGATCAAGTCGAAAGCTGAGCTAAAGTCTAAAGTAATTCAAATGGAGCACACTCTGTCTGTGGCTAAAAGAAGTTGAAACTCCAAAGGCTGTTTCTGTGCTACAGTATGTAATGCTTTGAAACCGGATTGGAATGTCTCAAAGATGTGGTTCTCATGAATAAAATCTAAAATCTGAATGAAAATTTTTTTCTCAAAAAATTTGAATAAAAAGCTTTGAAATGTTTTGAAATGTGTCTAAAATGTGTCTAAAATTGTAAAAATCTGATTGATGATTGATACAATGGCGGGTCCAAATTGGGTGGGGATGACATCGAGGCTGCACATGGTTGCCTTCATTTGGAATAAAACGTCTGATAAAGAAGAAAGAGATAAAGATGTAAAATTTGTTAAACAATTAAAATCCAGAGTTTCTCTATTTACCTAAATGGCTTGGCTTCGAGCAGTTAGGACACGGATATCAGCAACATTTTTGCTAAAATAATTTTAAAAATATTTTACACTGTTCATTGGATGCATCATTAAAATTACAGGGACTGGAATTTGTTATGGAACTAAAAAAATTTAATAAAAGTTAATAAAGGTTCTTGCTTGCTCGACTTTGCGTTGATAAATTTTGAAGCTATATCTTTCCAGGCGATGTGTGTCTTATGGTGGTCCCCATTCTCTCCACCGACTGTACACATCAACAATGTTTACTTTTTCTTTCACTGCAGGATGAATAAAGGGTCACTTATCTGGAAGTGTTCAAAATATATTCACAGGTGTCATAGATTATGACAAAAAGCAAGGGGAAAAGACTGGATTGACGCAACATTATTGAAGGAAGTGTTGTTTATTTTTCAGTCAATACCAATACCGACACCACCCCCCAATGCAGTTCTTTCAAATAATTCAATTCATCTTTAATTTAGACACATACAAGGACCATGTAAAACATTAAAATAGACTTCTGGACTTCCTCCAATGCATCCAGAGTTCAGAAGTGTGTTTAACACGGCTGTTGTGTTTACTAGTTGAGTTATTAGCTGTTAAAACATTCATAGTTTCATTTAACAAGTTCTCAGTCTGTTTTATGAACTTAAGTTCATACGATTTCTGATCACAGCCTTCAGTGTGGGTACATAATTGTGAACCAACAGGGAGCTGGCACTGGTCCAACCAGGGACTTTCAATAGAATTGGTCTTACTGTACCTGCACCACAGGGCCCAGGCGTACAGTAAGCTTTGAACGAAGTGATTACTTTGTCTGTGCACATGTGGACTTCCCGTGCCAACACTTTGCCTTTCCATGCAGCTTACAATTCTGGCTCTGAATGTCATTTTCACCACTGGGGTCACTACTGATGACAAGATAAAAAAGCAGAAAAAGAGGTCTTAAGGTGTTCTTTGGTCCTCACTACCATTACAAGAGTCCTCTTGAAGAGTAAGGGGACACGATGACCAGGTCATCTGTATACAGAAGATGGTTTGATTTGGTTTGGTTAATCTCCAATTGTGCAGCTGGTCTTACTATGCCTTCAACTTTCAGATAAACCATCCACACAAACTGAGAAGCGCAGGTGACGAGATTCCACCAAGTCTCACTCCATTTTTCACGTGAAAAGGCCCTGATACTGCTGTTCCCTATCAAACTTGCATTCTTTGGTGTGCATACCAGACTTGGAAAACCAGATTAAGTATTTATGGATCCGTTTTTGTATCAATGTATCAAACAGTTTGCAATGATGATATGATCAAACACTTTAGATGCATCCAAGAAGCACAGACACATTGTAGAACTCTGCCTTTGATATTAAGTTATTGCCTCTTTTACAGAATACATGTCAATTCCATGTTTGCCTTTGAACCCAAACTGCACATCATTAGTGCAATGCTCTCATAAAATAGTTTCTAGAACCTTAGAAAGCTCACTGGCAAGGGCAATTGATCAGTAGCTTTTTTATACTAGACAGTTTTCCTGTTTTATCCTGGATTACAGGTGCAAGGAGGACATCAGTGAGCTTGCCAGTGTACCATTAACATGCAAGTAAAGCAGAGTGAAAGTAGGACCCATAGTCTGGGACTGGCATACTACAGATGTTCAACAGGATTTAGTCAGAAACAGTTTCTCAATAACTGTAGCTATTTCCCCAACTGTGATGGGCACGTATTCATGTGTGGAATCCCTGTTATGTCTCTTCCATAGTTCAGCAACATTGTAAGGGCGGCACGGTGGCTGAGTGGATAGCACTCTCGCCTCTCAGCAAGAAGATCCTGGGTTCGAATCCCGGCTGGACCAGGGCCTTTCTGAGTGGAGTTTGCATGTTCTCCCCGTGTCTGCGTAGGTTTCCTCCGGGTACTCCGGTTTCCCCTACCACTAAAAATATAATAATGCATATTGCATGCGCAACCTGTTCGGCAACCCCGCTCCCATCTCTGTGTGGAGTGAGAGGACAAGTGCCCAAAAAAAAAAATAACAATTGTAAACCGCTTTGTGACTCTGGTCTGTGAAAGGCGGTATATAAATAAAGCTTACTTACTTACTTACTAAGGCCAAAAATATTGCACATCATTTTGTGACCTTTTAGCTAAAGAGTTAGCTCATTTATTTTTATACATAGCATGTTTCAACTGCTTATCAGCTTGTTTTTTCCCCGATAGCATAAGGGGCCATTTTGTGGTTAACCAGCTAAAACCAG